TGTTCGGAAAATAATTGAACTAAAGATAAAATAATCAGAAAATAATTGAATTAGAAATAAAATGATCAGAAAGCAATTTATAACTACCGATGAAATCGTGCGAAAATAATTGAATTAATATAATATGACCGGATAGTAATATAATAATATAATAATAATATTAATATAATAATAATATAATATAACCGGAAAATAATTGAAACCGATAATGAAATGATCAAGAAACGATCGAACGAAGACAAAATAAAAGACAATGAAATGCGAAAACACTTGTTAGAAAGGAAAACATCCGACGTAACAGAAAAATAGGATTAATTAGGGATTTTACTTTGAAATTTCCCAGGCGATCAGCGAACATTCCGGCCAAAGGTGGCATCACCATTGCGATCACCGGCGTAATGGCGCTCATTATGGCGGTTTCCTCCACGTTTATGCCAAGCTCCCTCATATGTATCGTCAGATACGGATAAAGTACATAGAGCGCTGAAAAACGTTCGTTGTCATCGTTAATAACAATTATACCATTCACACGAAAGCGTTGTAAATGGAAACTGGGCTGTTCGGTGTGCTATTGTGCTTTCTTCGAGGATCACAGTTTTTATCGTAGGCACACGCGTAATCGCAATGTTGTCTGATACAGCAATTTTTATTAGATTTTATTCAGTTTGATTTTAAATTGGTACAAATCTGAACTTAATTGTAGAAATCTTAAATTGTAGAAATTGCGACACGAACTTGCATATTTAACACTTGAATTATTAACACTCGAGCCTCGAATCGTCTTATCTTTGTACACATTTTAAGAAATGTATGTTCGCTTAAAAAATAAATTTATTTATATAATATATATATAATAATATTGATACAATAATTATATATTTATATAATATATATAATAACATCGATACAATAATTATATATTTATATAATATATATATAATAACATCGATACAATAATTATATATTTATATAATATATATAATAATATTGATATAATAATTATATATTATATTTTATAATTGTTGACAATCAGTGATCATAAAAACGAGCTGCGATTGGCATAAATCTGAACTTAATTGTAGAAATCCTAAATTGTAGAAATTGCGACACGAACTTGCATATTTAACACTTGATTCATTCGGAATTGAATAAAAATTGCGTTCAATTCGATGAGAAATTATTGGAGAAATTTGAGAAGGCAAAATAAAGTCTAAAAATCTATTATCCACGAATAAAATTGCTTTCGTTCGTTTTTGCAAATACATTCGTGCAAAGGGCGAGAGCTTATAACAAACGACTGCGTGCCTAATTTTGAATAACTTCGCTTAATTTATTATTTATTGTTTATTACGTATCTTATGATAAACTATGCAAGGAAGAAAGAAACGTTGAAACGAGAAATTCGATGTGGATTGCTTTTTCTTTTCTTTTCTTTTCTTTTCTTTTCTTTTGTTATAAATATCGTTTACTCACTGGACGCCTGAACGAAGAATATCATTTTCAGGGGTAGCAGCTCCTTGTGCCGAAAGTCCTTGATGATCCGCCGGAAGAAGCTCTTGATCAGCATCATTTTGCCGCCGGTCGGAGTCGGTTCAAGTCGAACAGGTCAGTAAGCGGTGACAACGAGAAACGCGCAGCCGAATATTAAGAGTAACACCGATCGCCGGACATATTTTCGAAACTGTTGCGTCACCGGCGCATCGTTCTCCTTCCTGTTGACAAAGAAAATCGCGTATGCCTCGTGACCAAGTGAAACATTCGTTCTCGATCGTCTAAATTTATTTTTCGCGCAAATAAAAATCGACTGCAAAAGTACAAAATTAATCATGGAAATAAAAGCTAATTTATAAATTTTAGAAACGCGGCTTAATTTATTTTTCGTGGCTTCAGAACAACAAAATCATTCCAACGTTACGGAAAACGACAGCAAATTTATAAATATAAATTTATCTAATTTAAAAATTAGTTATAAATACAATATATAGATATAAATCTATCTAATTTAAGGATTATTTATAAATATAATTTATAAATACAAATTTATCTAATTTAAAAATTAGTTACAAATATAATTTATAAGTACAAATTTATCTAATTTAAAGNCATGAATTATACTACAACTATAATTGTATTAAACTACCGAAACAATATTTTTCGCGAATATTGTTCCCTCGGTTCAGAAAATAAAAAAATCTATAGAAACATCAAGTTAGTAATAATTCCGAATAATTTTTAAACTACCAATTTATGAATTATATGAATTATACTACAACTATGATTGTATTAAACTACCAAAACAATATTTTTCGCGAATATTGTTCCCTCGGTTCAGAAAATAAAAAGTTCTATAAAAATGTCAAGTTNATTAGTTATAAATATAATTTATAAATACAAATTTATCTAATTTAAAAATTAGTTATAAATATAATTTATAAATACAAATTTATCTAATTTAAAAATTAGTTGTATATATAAATAATTTATAAATACAAATTTATCTAATTTAAAAATTAGTTATAAATATATTGTATAAATACAAATTTATATAATTCAAAAATAATTTATAAATACAATTTATAAATATAAATTCATATAATTTAAAAATGATTTATACATACAAATTTATAAATATAAATTTATCTGATTTAAAAATGATTTATACATAGAAATTTATAAATATAAATTCATATAATTTAAAAATAATTTATAAATACAATTTATAATAAATACAATATAAATTTATATTTATATAAAATTCAATTTAATAAATGTATATCGCGACGAGCCGCGCGTTTTCTCCTTCCGACGGCATATTTCTGTTCCCCGGCGAACCGAGAATTTTTGGAGACCGCGGTTCGCCGAACCGTGGCCACGAGCCTAGACGGCGTCGATTAGGTTCAACAGCCTCGCGATTTTTGAGATTGATGTTGCCCGAGCGAATCGTGACACTTTTCGAGGCAATACCGTTGCTCGGTTGCGCGACGACCAACTTCGACCAACTTCGTGCCGACGCGTGTCCGCGTGTCAGCTGATCCCTCCATTTACGACCGTCGAATACATACCGCGTACATCCGGTTGCCGGTACGAGTTTTCAGCGAGTTTTATCCGGCGAATGGAAATATGCCAATTAACCCATAAATGTTCGCCACGTTTATCTACTACGAGGCTCGCGAGAACCGCCGAACTGTTTTTCCGCGAATGTTCCATTACCGATTCGATCGAACGGATCGCACGTTGAACCTCCTTGAACAGTCGCATTCTCGCATTCTCGCATTCGGAGACTACAATGAGAACCAGATTTTTGCGCAAAATAATTTACATTTATTTTTATGTTCATCGAATACCTTGTATTTGCTTTTATATTTACTAAATAATTTATATTTCTTTTTATACTAAGTAATTCATGTTTTCTTTTTTACATTAAATAATTCGTATTCCTTTTCATATTTATTAAATAATTTTTATTTGTTTCTATATTTCTTTCTATATTTATTAAATAATTCACATTCCGTTTTATATTTATTAAATAATTTTTATTTGTTTCTATATTTCTTTCTATATTTATTAAATAATTCATATTCCTTTTCTATATTTATTAAATAATTCATGTTTTCTCTTTTACATTAAATAATTCATATTCCTTTTTATATTTATTAAATAATTTTTATTTGTTTCTATATTTCTTTCTATATTTATTAAATAATTCACATTCCTTTTTATATTTATTAAATAATTCACATTTCTTTTCATATTTATTTATTTCTATACTTCTTTTTATATTTATTAAATAATATTTATTTATTTTTATATTTCTTTCTATATTTATTAAATAATTTTTATTTACTTTTATATTTCTTTTTATATTAAATAATTCATGTTTTCTTTTTTACATTAAATAATTCATATTCCTTTTTATATTTATTAAATAATTTTTATTTCTTTCTATATTTCTTTCTATGTTTATTAAATAATTCACATTTCATTTTATATTTATTAAATAATTTATTCTTGCGCAGAATAAAATTGTCCTAATTACAAGATACGAAAGCAACGCAGCTATCTACTTTATTTCTCAATCATTTAATTAGCTCCAATTAATAAGCAAACCGACGAGATCACGTTAGAGAATGATCTTCCGTTGAAACAGCGACTTCGTCGGTGGCCTCGGTGAACGTATCGTTTCGCACCGAAACGATTGGATAACTGAGCCGTTGTAAAGACGATTCGGCAACCCTAAACGGTAATCGCCGCGGTTCTCGGAATTTCAATTCGCTCGAGCTTGTAAAGCTCGCGATTCAAACGCGTCCGTGCACCGCGCGCACGCACACACATGCGGGGCTTAAAGGCGTTCCCGGTGCGCTCCGCATCGGCAATCGAGGTGTTCCGACCGTGACAGTGGCCGCGGTTTGTCAATATAAATGTCATGACTTTTACATAATGGCTTTACGTGGACCGCGCGTAACCCGTTGTTGCGCGTCAGCTTCCGCCGCGACGGATCAATCGCGTTCGCGAACGACCGCAGCCGGTGTAAAATCGAACTTCCCGGTGAAAATGATGATTCGGTGAAAATAAATAATAAAAAAATGATAATTCGAATCGCGAGATCGGTTCGGTCGGGAAGTCCGCGGTGGCTCTTGGTAAATCAAGATACGGTACTTGGACACTCGGATAATCCGTTTAATTGGTGGCTTTAGTTAATTAGCTTCGGTATCTCGATGCTACTATCATTTATCTTGGAAGCTTTAATAGCGTTTCTATTATGGCAAATAGAGTTTCTTTATCGTCTAACGAGTCTTCTGATTTTTAAGCTGTGGTTAAATTTGTATTAATATTTTATATTGTTGTATAAAATAGAGAGGAATATTTTATGCTGTGTATGAAATAAAGAGAAATATTTTATGCTGTGTATAAAATAAAGAGAAATGTTTTATGGTGTGTATAAAATAAAAAGAAATGTTTTATGGTGTGTATAAAATAAAAAGAAATACTTTATACTGTGTATAAAATAGAAAGAAATATTTTATACTATATATAAAATACATTATACATAAAAAAAGGTTATATTATATTATATATACATAAAATATACTATATGTGA